ACATTAAACACAAAAAATACAATTTGGGACAAATCATTTTAAAGAGAGGGGGGGGGGGACTTATTAACAATTCATTCCCTGGAGATTTTATGGAAAATATTTAAATATCTTACCCTTGGTTACAGGTACAAACACCAGGGGTGACACAGGAACTCGTGGCAGGGTTGCACGAACTTGGACACGCAGGGGCTAAACATGTACCAGATTAAAGAGACTGTAAGTGTACCATGTACCGGATTAAAGGGACTGTAAGTGTACCATGTACCAGATTAAAGGGACTTGTAAGTGTACCATGTACCGGATTAAAGGGACTGTAAGTGTACCATGTGCCAGATTAAAGAGACTGTACGTGTACCGTGTACTAGATTAAAGAGACTGTAAGTGTACCATGTACCACTGTAAGTGTACCATGTACTGGATTAAAGGGACTGTAAGTGTACCATGTACCAGATTAAAGGGACTGTAAGTGTACCATTTACCGGATTAAAGGGACTGTAAGTGTACCATGTACCGGATTAAAGGGACTGTAAGTGTACCATGTACCAGATTAAAGGGACTGTAAGTTTACCATGTACCAGATTAAAGGGACTGTAAGTGTACCATGTACTGGATTAAAGGGACTGTAATTGTGCCATGTACCAGATTAAAGGGATTGTAAGTGTACCATGTATCAGATTAAAGGGACTGTAAGTGTACCATGTACTGGATTAAAGAGACTGTAAGTGTTCCATGTACCACATTAAAGGGACTGTAAGTGTACCATCTACCGGATTAAAGGGACTGTAAGTGTACCATGTACCAGATTAAAGGGACTGTAAGTGTACCATGTACCTGGATTAAAGGGACTGTTAGTGTACCATGTACCAGATTAAAGGGACTGTAAGTGTACCATGTACCAGATTAAAGGGACTGTAAGTGTAATAAAGTGACCCTCCATCAAAAGATGGCAATGTCTGAATCACAACTGTACCCTTGAGAAATTAAATTTATCAGTAATGTGGAATAAATTGTGGTTTCTCGAGGTTTGAAACTGTTCTTTTATATGTTTTCCTGAAATAGAAATGCGCAAATCGCTTTAGTAGAGAAACCACAATTGAAAAATTTCTATTTTCTAAACATGATATTTTATCCGACAAAGCTTTACAAGAGTACACTTGTGAATCAGGCATTGACATTTTTGCATTGCGGGTCACGGTCACGGTAAATTACGCTTACCAGTTTTAATTTCAAGGGACTGAATACTTGTTTTTAGTATAAATCCTTGAAGTGTTTTCAATTTTGATCAATTTTGGAGAGAAAAAAAATACATTTGAATTTAAGATCTAAAAATAGAATTCAAATTCTTGATTATCACAATTCATGACGATTTACTTTGTTGTACGTACACTTTTACAAACAAATACAATGATAAATTAAATAAATAAAAATCTATTTTCTGGGAAATAGAGTGCATTTATGTCTTCAAGTTTTATTTTTTACAACAATTAGGTTTTTTCTAAAATAAATATTTTGTCTAAAAAATGATTACTTTTTTGTCATATAATTCTGATTTGATGAAATTACCCGAGATGAAATATTTATTGTTGTAATATCTACAAAAATTTTTAAAATTTTGACAACAATTCTTTTATTTTAAATTTAATTTGTTTGTAAGTTAGACTGTGTATCCACAGGAGTTGTGATCTGAATAAAGTCTGCCTATTAAGCAACAATTCAATAGGTCTGGATTTCAGAAAAAATTACGTAACAAATGATCAAAATTGAAAACAATAATTGATGGGAGGGGGGAGAGGAGGGGCAACAGGCAACAAACTCCTTTTATGAAAGTTTGGTACCAAGGTTTTGTAAATGAATTGAGTTTTTGCAACAAACTCTGATTTTATAATCCCTATCTCTTCCACGGCCACCTGATGGTGTATATTTTTGATATATCAAACTTAGATTATTTGGTCTAACAGAGTTACTGAATTCATAGTTAGAAATATCTAAGGCTACACATTTGGTTGCAAAGATATAGAATTAGAAAATCAGAGTTTTTGGCAAAAAACTCAATTTCTTTGAAACTTCAAATGTTTGCTTCTGAGTCAATTTTACAAGGTAATTTTCAACGTATTGAAAGTGTTAATAAAATAATAAAAAAATTTTATTATTGAAAATTTTGAAAATCCACATTTTTTTTATAAAATCCGCGAAATCTTTTGTTAATTTTTGTTTTGCAATGTCTATGAAGGGAAAGTGTCTACAATTGAATTAGAAGATGGGCGCGAAAAGCCCTAAAACCCTAGCATATATTTTCTGTTTGTCTGTTTGTTTGTATCCAATAAACGTCAAAAAGGCTGAACGCGGGCCCAAATTTTCCGTGAGACCTCACATGACTCCAGGGAAGGTTTATAAATGATCAAAATCTCAAAAAATGGACTCCAACAAAATTAGATTTTCATTAAATTTTGGAAATCCACGAAATATTTTTATAAAATCCGCAAACTTTTTGTATGTTTTTGTTTTACAATTTTTACAAAGAGAAAATGTTCATAATTAAAATAGAAGATGGGTGCGAATCAACCTGAAAGCCTAGTTTATACATACTTTGTTTGTCTGTTTGTTTGTTTGTAAGAGATAAACGTCAAAACGGCTGAACCGATCGGGCCCAAATTTTGTGTGAGACCTCACATGATCCCAGGGAAGGTTTATGGATGGTTAAAATTTAACAAATGTCCCTAAAAAATTTAGATTTTTTCAAAATCCACGAAAAAACGATAAAAGAGCACCTTAAATAAAAGTTAAAATTGAAGATGGGAGCGAGGCGCTCTAGAAACCTATAGTTTTAAATATTTGAAGAAGCTTTGCCGTGAACTAAACTTTCTTCATAAAAGTCATCACACTGAATTTAGAAGTTTTAAAACAAAGAAAATTCCCGATGTTCTACCGAGTTCCCCAATTAAAATTTGAAGCAAATCGGTCAATAGTTCTTGAGTTATGATCGGATATACAAACAAACAAACAAACATACCAAAGATTACTACTTTATACATTCAGAAAAAAACCCTTTATATTGGTTTAGTTTGTATAAAAGGATTACCCATAAAGGGTGAAACTCAAGGGACCATTTACAATTTTTTAAACATTTTTTTTACTGCTGACTAGATGGTTACCGCTCATCCTACCTACAGGAAACTGACCGAAGTAAAATCTACCCGATATTTTCGTAAACTACTCGATAATTAGGCTAGTTTCCTCTAGGTAAGTTTCAATGGCATGTATATAGGGGTCTGCAGGTCGCATAAAAGACGTGCTTTATTCATACAGATCTAGAATTTTTACGTACCAAGAATTAAAAAAAAAATATTTAACCTGCAACTGTCCCCTGAGTATCCTAGATTGCATTCGCACTCAAACGGCTGAAGAAATAAGGCAATCATTGATAACACATCCGGATTCAGATTCAGGGTTTTAAGTTCATATTTAGGGTTTAGGGTTCAATATTCATGGTTTAAAGGTTTTCCCAATTATACCCCTTCTCCTCAATTTAGATTCAACTTGTGAGGAAGACTTTAAAACCTGTCGAAAACAATTTTTGTCAATTTGAGCACAAATCAAATTTTGACGAAAACTATGATTTTCCATGTTATAAGGGCTCACGTTGGATATCGGGATCAAGCGTTTAAGATTAACAAAACTTCACACATTAGTTCCGACCTCGACGTACACGTAATTTTGTCCTTAATCTGTGATAAAACCCTATACAGTGTTTACATTATACAACTGAATTCTTTCATCAAAACATTTTTATCTAATTATCTACAGTCAATTGTCTACAGGCTTCACGAGGGAGGAAAGGCAACCTTCCCCGCACAGCTTCCGAACCCCATTTTACCTAGTTGCGACAGCGACAGTGATCGTCCCCATTGGCCATTGGGCTTCCGAACCTCCCCCAAACAGTCTTCCGGGAATGATCATCCGTTTATAATCGTCAATTTCCACTTAAAACGGGACTAATTCGATTATTTAAGCACGGTAGTCCAT